AAGACAAGGAAGACGATTGAAGTTAATTTTTCGGTAAAATCATGTTTTTGCGGAAATTTCCCATTAAATATGCCATAGTTATAATTCTTTGCCAATTGAATTTTATAAACAATAATGTATAATTATTATCCTCATTTTAATCAGTAAACTTTAAGTAATTTTCCAACTAAAATCCCTGTCCCTATGTTAGCGTACTTCATTAGGTGTATATTACACAAACAAGTGTACAGTCACGGAAAGAAAATTATTGAATATTTATATTTATATTTTCCTCATTTGCATATTTGCGAATGTTGTTTTCTAAATTGTAATTATTTGTGCAACAAAATTAGAACTGTAATTCATTTACAGGATGTACGTCAACAGTACACGAAAAGTTTGTTTCGGTACGGTGTTTTGTACTTTGTCAAATTACCGGATTAGTAGTTTGCATTAGGAACATTATTCACTCTTTTTTGTCAAGTGAATTTAATAAAACTTAATTTTGCAAGCACATGTCATTTAGTTCCAGTGTATAATTGAGTAAGAGAAAAATAAATCACTGCCGAGCAATCAGTTATGTAGGTATAATTTTCTTTCATTCAAATCCAAGTCCAAATTCGCACTACAACAGAAGCAAGGTCACGAGCAAGCGAAACGAAATGTACATATAGGTACTTCATAAACAAATAAACTGTTTCCGATAACGATGTCTATTTTGTAGATTATACATTATACGTATTAATACCCACCACAGTCAAAACATTCGTTAGGTCATTAGTCATTATTGAAATAATTTTCCCTATTCAATTTAGCATTACACATACGACACATATTATTATTATAATACACAAACACATCATACGTGTATGTTGGACATCTCATACAAAAAACAAAACAATTTCAATTTCTCTTCAATGAACAACGTTTCTGGTAAAAACCTAATACTAACAAATATAGCATAAGTCTAAACTGCATTTTACACTATTTGGTCAAGGAAATTACAATTTTTTCAATTACCGTTGAACCGTACAATTTATGTACTACTTCTTTTCTTCTCATGTAATTAGATGTTAAAACAGTATTCATTTCTTCCTTTTCATATTCGACTATTAGGGAAAATATTGAATGCAAGTTTTAGTGGCGTTTCGGTAACTTCCATTTCGCCAACTATTGCGGTGTACATATTTAAAAGAAACTCGTATATCAATAACAATTGATAGATTACAGCATTTACCTAACAATGAGTTCAATTGTACTTTGCAATATTATAAGACGTTAACAATGTTCAATCAGCCTTCGTTCTGACTTTGTCCATTTTATGTTTATTATGCAAAAAATCTATGAGACTACGAACACACAATTTTGTCAGTATCGTCTATCGACTTGTACCAATTTAGTTTTATTTTTTTTTTTTAGAAATGACCCTAACATAAGGAACGATAGTGCCCGCTTATTTCCTTTTGCATAACTTCATTTTGTTCATAAACACACTTTTAATGAGATAACAGAATAATAGGTACCTATATACATATGTCATATTATGTGATTTATTTGTTTTCTGGTAATTATCAGGTAGCTTTATCTGTTATCGTTTTTAGGTACGTATGCATACATAGCAACATGTGGATGTATATGTGCTACTTTTAAAGAGATACCTAGGTACCTCATCGAAAATTTGAAAGGTGCCAATCAAATAAAGTTGGCGAATTTTCAAAAAAAACAGATATACATTTCAACGTTGCCCTAGAGGCCTTCATGACTTGTTAAATCCGTGTATCTTTTCATATATGCACACACATGCACTTGTACATTTCACAGTATGTATGTATATATTATATGCATAATATTTTCTTACTGTATTTGCTCCTCACGTAAACAGTATTCACTACTTCCACCCTCCTTTCCTTTTGTAAATGACAATTCACAACACGTTTGTCTATTTTTTCACATATTCTACTACTATTTATGCATGCACCACTTGTTCATAACATTTCATTTTTTGTACTTCTTTACTTACCTTTTTCAAAAATCCTTTCCTGTTTTTTTCTTATGAATGACAAATGATAACATTCAACTTTATATTTTCATATTTTTCAAATACTCTCATTGATAACTACAGACAATTTCTATTTTTCTCTTTACGCACTTCGCGGTGCGGACGCGACATTTGAACGTTTACACGTGGTATTTCCCGATTTCTCCTCCAATGAAAGGCATTACAAATAATTATTATTATCGTTACCAATTTTATAAAAACATTTTTTGAACGTAGACAACCCTAAACACTGCAATGCAAATAAAAATTATGATAATCTTTTTTATGATCGTAATGCTGTTTTTCTTATGCAACTCATTTTACAAAATCTTTAAACGCTGCAAGCACCGCCATCTGCCAGGTTTAGTCACAACTATTTTGACAGGAGAGTTGAAACCGCATGTTCATCATCATAAGGTCATCAGTCCTAAGACTGGTTGGACACGCACCTCCACTCTTTCCTATCTTGAACTAACTTTCGCATTTCCCTAAAACTAAAACATCCCACATCCTTAACTATTTGCGAACAGTAATCTAATCTAGGTCTATCCCTACTCCTCTTAACTTCTGTTTTTGCCTCTAGCCTCTCTGACTAATCCTTCATACCTCAGAAGGTGTCCTACCAACCTATCTCGCCTATTTGTTATTAACTATCATAGAGTCCTTTGTTCACCTATTCTTTCTAATACCTTTTCATTTACGACCTTCTCTATCCACTGTACCCTCATCATTTGCCTGTAACACTACATATCGAACGCTTCTAACCTTTTCATTTCTGCCGCACCCACCGTCCATGTTTCGCAGCCGTATAATACCACACTCAAAACATACACCTCTAACAATCTTCGAATTTATAAATTAACCGTTCACGAGCATACATAGTGACTTTTTTTATTGAAGGTGACCCGAATTATCCTCTTGCTTTATATCTCTACTACTTCCGTCCTGACTTATCTGACTTCCTAAATACCGAAAACCAGCCACTTCTTCTAATTTTTCGTATCCTATCTTTATATTCGCTCTTTCTCTATTTTTTCTACCCTTTCATATAAGTGTTTTTGTTTTACTTTCATTTATTTTTATACAATACTGTTTTGTCAATTCCGCCTCCCATGGAGAAACACAGACCCTCCTCTTTCAGTGTATATGAAATTCTTTGACATTTATTGTTATTTTGTCCTAATGTAAGGTAAAAGTATATTTCTAGTACAACTTTAGTCCAAAACAATAAGTTATTAATCATCCATTGTCAATATTCTGTTCATACACGGGATTATATTTTATTACTCATTTCCTTCCACAAAGTGGACGTTTTTCTAATTTGTACGATACCTCTTTCACAACAATACATTTTGTATGACAAAAAAAACATATTTTTAACCAACCATTGTGTAACTCTTTTTAAAATTGCTAAACTGTCAGTAGTACACCAAAGTGCTTCAGAATAATCTTATACGTGTTTAGCTTGTTTCTTGTCAATTTTTCACATAATCCTTCGTTTCCTTTTGTTTGTTTGAATTGCCCGCCTTTTAGTTTAGTTCGTCCCCACAGTACTAGATGGCAAAACATCTACGAGTGTTTCATCTATGATTACTATTATATCTCTTATCTATGTTACACATCCCCATAGATAAATGACACGTCAACGACGTCAGCTTAATGTGTTGGCTAATTTATTAGCTTATTTAGGATCTTGTAAATGAAAAGGTTTTGATTATAATTGTTATAAAATTATTTCTGAAACGTTATCCGATCCGTGCCAGAATGGTTAGTAGAAGTATCATTAATATAATCGCATGCGTTAAAAACTTGTATAATGTGTTTAACTTACAGGTGCTTATAGCCGCAGCAGTATGTACGAAAGCAGGGAAAAGTAGGTATTTAAGCTGTTTGTATGCCCCAATAGCTATTTGAAATATACTTTCAGCAATTATTTCACGTCAATTTGTTGAGATGACAAAGGCCAGAATAGAAGGTTTATTAGCTGCATTTCCAAAACTTATACCAGCTGGAACACAACATACGTTTGTAGAAACAGATTCAGTTCGTTATGTTTATCAGCCACTTGAAAGGTTATACATGGTCCTTATTACAACTAAAGCAAGCAATATTTTGGAGGACTTAGAAACACTACGTCTATTTGCAAGAGTTGTAAGTTTTTAAGAATTTTCTCATTGTAAAGACCAAGAAATTTTGACATTTCATTTTATTTTGTTTTTAACTTACTTTTTTGACTTCTTTGCTAAATGCACAGTATAAGAATCTTATATTATTTATTATTCATTAAACAAATTACATTTTAATTATTAAACTTTCATAGCAAGTTCTGAACAAATGATAACTAACAGACAGTTTCATTTAATATAAGCTACTGTTCAGTTTGTCAACTTCTATTAAATCAAAAACATGTATGACTACGATTTACATATTGACAGCAATCATTATTAATGGAAGAATGTTCCTGTGGATGAATAAAGAATATAACAGGCAAATATGGTTGAAATGACTTGTATAACATAATACAATATTCAAATTAACATTGGCAAAAGTTTCATGATATAAAATAATAATTGTAAAGAGAGTTGTATAAAGTTGGTCAAGATAAAAAAAAGATACAAAAACATGTTGATTGATGCAGGTGCAATATTCTTTAAAAAGCAAGTATTCCCCTATATCAAATTTATTGTTCTAATGCATAACATCTGTGTATGTGCTGCAAGAACAGCAATCCATCAAACAATTTTGAAACAAGTCACAAATAACATCAACATTAGGGTATTGTGAAACTACAAATGTTGAATCTACAAAAGAATATATTCGAATTTGACAAAAAATATATACAATTGGTCGTTAGCAGATTATACTTACTATAAGAAAGACTGCTCATGGTGTGATGTTGATAAAACATGTTAAATAGTGGGTATCAAATAAAAAAAATCGACGATGAAACATTTTTGTTTATTAGAAAACTTATTACAATTATTTATATCGCAAGGTCATTATCAAACACACAATTTAAGTAACTGTGCTAGTCCTATTCGTATAATTAATTCTAGTTACAATATATATACAAGGTATTTCTGAAATAAGTGCAGAGCTTTAGACAGTCCTTTCTCAATTTTTGAGTTAAATTTAATTCTCGAATTTAAGGAATTCATATAATTAAAAAATAAGTCGAGTTGGTGGTTTTGTCGTGTCCAGACATTGAACATAACGACGTCGTACTTTTACTTAAATAGCATATTATTGTTTCAATACTTTCAACTGATCTAATGATTGATTCAGTTAGTAGTTGATTTAATTCTTTAGCAATTTATATACAGGATTCTTCAAACAGAGTGGTACATTAGACGTTTTAGGAAAATTAAGCGTGTAAAAAATTTGAAAATGTTGAAATAGGAGTTATCGAGGATCTTTTTAACTAAAATAATGTCAACTTTGTTATTTTAAGGTAACTTTGTTAACCAACTGGTACGCCTATGACAGATATTTTCTAAGATAATTTAATTTTTAGATAGAAATTGCCACGGCAACCCAAATTATAAAAAACATAACTTCCACAAAAAAAATGATTTAGAGCGTAAAAACTTTTATCATTTGTAGTCGTGTCATGGATAATGCTATACCAAAATTGAGCTTTATAATTTATACAGTGGGCGTTCAGAACAAAAATCCAAATATTAAAAGCTTCAAACACGAATAATTTAGACTAATTAGATTCCACTTTTTATCTTCTTTCGATCAATGTGAATGTTTTATATTTCTTTATTTAAAAATTTTTGAATAAATTTGGATTTTTATCTAAAATAGATAATTTTACTAATTTTGGCATAACAAAAGTGTGTCATGGACAATAGACAACTAATGCAAATGTTAAATATCAAAACATTATCTTTTATTTTTTTATGTTACAAAATTAACAGAGCATGATGCTTATAATCAGTACTCCAATTCAAATTTACATACTTTAATCTGTGCTATGGAGAATTCGGAGATAGCATTATTAAGTTACAGACATGCATTTTATGCTTCCATTGTATTTTTTCAGTTGCTCAAAGAAAACAAAAAATGCGAGAACATTAATTCATTGTTTTCATCTCCAGTAACACATTTAGAAGTGGTATTCAAAGTTTGGAAAGAACCAAATTCCTCTTAATTCTACCCAATTTTCGCTTATGGATGGGAGGATACAGTTGATTAATTATCTGTATGTTCTTTCTTAAACGTTGTTGCAGTCTCCATACAGATTAAATTTATTAAAACAGAATTGCAGTATGCATTATAAGCTTCGTCTTCTTCATCATTTTTGTAACATAAAAGAATAGAAGCTAAGGTTTTGATTTTTAGCATTTTCGTTAGCTGTCAATTGTCCATGTCACACTTTTATAATTCCAAAATTAGTGAAATTATCTACTTTAGATAAAAATCCAAATTTATTTAAAAATTTTAGGAGTGTAAAACATCCACATTGATGAAGATAAAAAGTGGAATCTAATGATAAAGTGCCTTTTGAACGCCGTTTAAATTATGAAGCTCAATTTTGGTATAATATTAGCCATAAGACGCGACTATAACTGGTAAAACTTGAGCACCCTAAGTAATTTTTTGTGGATATTATGATTTTTTTTTTAATTTGGGTTGCGGCAGCAGTTATTTTTCCATAAATTCTACTAAAACTATTCATCATTTCATCAACTAGTAATATACTACCTACAGTTACAAACACCAAATATCTTGGTGTCATTTCTTTTTCAAAATCCAAGATGGAAATCTCACATTGAAAATGTAGTTAAAAGATCCAAATATTTACTTCTTGTTTTTGCGAAACTACAATCTATATTACATATTAATAAGCGGCTAATGATATACCACGATTTGTAAGTAGCATCAGGAATTAACATATACTAATGTACCGTACATGAATGCTTTGCACCTCCTAATCTCACTAAACGAATGACTACTAAAGCTAGTATGGAATAGTAAAACAAAAGTTGTTACACCTATCCTACGATTTGAATCAATAATGTTTTTTGTATAATGGCACCCTAACATAATACATAAGCAACCGAAATCACAAAAGTTAAAAAAAAACATTTGGTATTTTTTATCTATGAATGTATTTTAGAAATACATGTTTAATTCATCAAAAGGTATAGTTTCAATGTAATTATAAAATAGACTAAGCTAAATTAAAGTCGAATTAAACAATGTAACAAAAATTTATTCAACTATAATTTTTAAAATAATTGTTTTACATAATTCACCAGCTATTGTGAAGGTGATTGCATTGTATTAAAAGTTGATTTTCATACAATGGGAATTAATATTTGGTGTAATTGATTTAATTCAAAATGACTACTTAAAATTAGTACATAACTTTAATTAAAAACCTTTTTAATTGATTCAATTTTATGTAGGTATCTACCACACAATTAACTATAAGACTGCAAATAATATATATTGCGTTTTTTATTGTATTAAATTATGTTTTTTATAGTAACATAATCTTGCTATTTTTCATTAGATTTTAGAATACTGCCGATCATTTGAAGAAAGTGAAATAGTTGAAAATGCCTTTAATCTTATATTTGCTTTTGATGAAATTGTTGCGCTAGGCTACCGGGAAAGTGTAAATTTAGCTCAAATTCGAACATTTGTTGAAATGGATTCCCATGAAGAAAAAGTATACCAGGCAGTTCGACAGGTTGCTTTTAATGCACTACATTTTTTTATGGTTTTAAAAAACTTCTTTTAGACACAAGAAAGAGAGGCCAAAAATAAAATGCGCGAAAAAGCTAAAGAACTACAAAGACAAAGAATGGAAGCTGCCAAAAAAGGTGGAAAACCATCATTTAATACAAGTGGAGGTTTTGGAAGTTCTACAGTTTACGCACCAACTCCATCAATAATTGGAGATGTCACTAACAATTCTAACGATGTTAAACCTGCTTATAACAACATGCAACAGTTAGTAAAAATGATATTACTTTACATCATAGATTTCACGGTGATCACCCATTAGAATATTTCGGAAACTACTTCGATTTAAATTTTAATTTTGGCTTTTGGCGTTATTTTAAATGGAACCCCCTATATATTATAACGGTTTTAAATTCTAATTGTGATTTTAGGTAGACATCATAAGGCTTTGTCACTTCTAAAATTTACCGTTTCCGAGATATTAATTTTGATTTTAAAAATGTAGTAGTGCAGTAGATAGCAGAAAAGCATGTCTATTTTACAATAAGAAAGTTAGAAGAGATAGCTATATATCCAAGTTTTCTGTCCATACTTTCAACGTGGGTTAATTACATATAGGGTGTTAGATATTTAATGGCGAAGTTTAAGTTTATTTTTTCAAATGGAACAATCTGTATGTATTTTCATAGATTTATGCAGAATTTTATTCTCTTTCGAATAGTACTATGATTCCCTATACCCATTTCCTCTAATTTTCAAATTATTTATTGTTCTTTGTGAAATCAACTAAAATCCATTAATTTATTACGACTTCAAAACAAATAATACAAGTTAATTGTTGTCACTCAAACACCCATACTGACAGTTTAGTAATTAAATATTTTGATTTTCAGTGTCAATTATTGAATATTATTGTTATTAAGAATGGAAAATGTAGATTCGTATTCAAATTGAGATGAATTTTAAAAAATCAATTGCAGTACAGTGGACTACAGACCACAATAGTAAAAACAGCAAACAAACAATGAATAAAAAAAATAATTAACGATATCAGCTGATAATAATTAAATGTATTAGTTTAATTGTTCGATATGCCCCCCATTTAGCTTTAAGCGATTGTTTACCCTTCCGATAAACTCATGTATAACAGCTCGAACCATTAAACTAATACATTAAATAATTATCACGTGATATCCTTAATTGTTTAATTTTATGTTTATTTACTTTTTTTACTATTTTTATCAGTAGTCTGCTGTATTGCAATAAATTTAAAATTCTCAATTTAAATACCTATTCCCATTTTCCATTTTGAAAAACGTCGAATATAAAAGAATACCATGCGCCTTATAGAAGAAATTGAGAGACTGTGATTTTAGAAGTAGGTAAGCCTTATAAAAGTCTATCTAGAATCATAAGTAGAATTTAAAACCGTCATAATATATAGGGTGTTCCATTTAAAATAACGAGTGATGTCAACTTCCGGTATAATCGAAAGTTCTACACAGATGCCGTTATTTTAATTAAGGAGAGCATACCTAATAACACCATTGTACAGATTTTCAAATTTTAAATCGAAGTAGTTTCCGAAATAGGTGGTCACCGTGAGACACCCTAATAATGTACTTTTGTACAGTAGATAATACTACACCAATGTATATATATATTTACTGTATGAAACAATCTAAATTTCCTGGTGATTAATATTAATGTAAAAATTCTTTCTTGATTTTTATCCTAATAATTTCCAGTAATTTATAGATAAAAAGAAAGAATTTTCACATTAATATTGAATATTAACCACTAGGAAATTTAGAGTGTATTCTGTAACAAATTCTTAGAATAAAATATGTCAAGCGATTCACTTTATTGATGAATTTTTGTGATTTTTTTATTAATATTTGAACTTCACCTTTGGTATCCAAGAAATTGTTTAAATTTTAGTATAATGACGGATAAAAATGTAGTATACTAAATGAAAACCATTTTAGAAAACGAACTCCAATGAAGGCTATGAAATTAGGAAACAAAGGAAAAGATGTGGAATCATTTGTAGACCAATTAAAATCAGAAGGAGAAAACGTAATCTCTTCAGTTAATAATAATTCCCAAATTGGACCTAAGGCATTAACAATAAGCCAAGATATTGATAAGTAAATAGGAAAAGCATTAACAAATTAAAAATGTTTATCCTGCTTACTCTGTTGCAGCGTTCATTTAAAGCATGAAGACAAACTCATTGTTCGTTTAGGACGAGATGGAGGTGTACAGAAATTCGAATTATCCGGACTTATTACTTTGCATATTAGTGATGAAAAGTATGGCAAAATCAGAATACAACTAGAAAATAAAGATACTAGAGGAATTCAACTTCAAACACACCCAAATATTGACAAAGAACTTTTCAAGTTACGTTCTCAGGTGAGGTTACATTTCAACATTTATTATTCCTTAATTAAATCAATCGTCATTGTAAATGTTCCCTAAATTTTTCACTAAGGTTTTGTAACTTTTTTAAAATGGAATTCACCTTAAAATGTTTTCTTGGAAAGCAGCAATGGCTTATCAATTATTTGGGATTTGTTAAATAAGCATTCATCTAGTGACAAATCCTGTAATTAGAATAAAGGGGCAGATTTACATGAGTGTAGTGCACATACATCGTAAAATAGTTTATTGAAAACATAAAATGCGTTAAATAAATGAAAATTTTTTAATAACGGTGTCCGTAAAGTTTTCTTCTCTTGCGAAATAGAATAAAAAGTTGGTCTGTATAGTAAAAAATCTTGAGCTGTGTATTCATTACTTCTCGGTGAAAATTAAATGACTTATATTTAAAGAAATAAATAATATATTTGTAAAATTGACAAAATTAACTAGAAGCATTGTTAAAAAACATAGGTATCAAAAATATGAATTCCGGAATAAAAATTTCTTCACATCATTTTAATGTTGCAATAAATAAAATTGAATAATTATGAATAAATTTTGAAAGTTTTATAATAAAAATAATAGTTTTGTATTAGCTCAATACTAAAATTATAATACTAGCGTGTATGTTATTTAATTTTTCTTAGAAATCCTAGCCGTTAACATTCAAACTTAATCTATTTGCTGTTTTTTCCTCTAGTTCCATACATATATGAAAAAAGAGTGTAGGCCAAAGAAGGTAGTAATGTCTATTTGATTATAGAACCGACACCAACGTCGCCTCTAGTTGGGAAAATTTATCAATGTTAAAAAGTGTACAGTTAATAGTTATACAAAGATTTACTAGGTTGTCTTAGTTAATTGAAAGTTGTTTATAATAATAAAATATTTGTAAACAACTTTTAATTAACTAAGAGAACCTAATAAGTGTCCACAAAGCGTAACTGTATACTTTTTAACTTTGATAAATCTAGGGGCGACGTTGGTGTCGTTCCGTTATCAAGTAAAAACATTACTACTCTCTTTAGCCTTGACTCTTTTTTCATTTTAACTTACAACTAATGTTTTTGTTTGACATCGAATTATACGGATAACAAAAATTAATGGCATCAGAACCAGGTATTGTTAATCCCGGTGAACCTAAAAAATATTAAATGTGATTTTTAATGTCATGTTTGTAAACAATTGACACTAAAAGTCACAGCATCTGGCGGTCTACTTTTAGATTATTATTATTTGATGTAATTTAAAACAATTATGAATCCATGATTATTCCGTGTAACATACCGATCTGAAGTCATTCGTCCTTTATTTTTATCATAATTTTCACACGTTTTAATATCGTGATGCACCTTGAAATTGGATGTTATTCTTAAGCATCGCTCTTTAAGCTAACTAACGCATAAAGTTGTGCTGACGATTTTAAGCCAATTTCCAATAACTTATTTTATCAACTTTCATTATTTATTAGTATTATCATTAGTATTTTTCGTAGACAAATTAACTCTCATATGATTAATTTTTGATAGGTACTGTGTAGTTTGAAGTTTTTATCAACACTATCAGTTTTTGTTAAGCGTTAGGAACCAATGATTTTGAAATAAATACCCCCTTGCCTACCCGCGTTGAGTGCGACTTGCGAAAAGCCATTGAGAAATGTTTAATGTATTTCAAGACGTCGAAGCGAAATTTCCCAACATTCACTGGGAAATTTCTCTTCAAGATTTTGCTCGAACCACAATAAAATCTACATCACGTGTTCTGGTGCTAGTAAGATATTTGTGCTTATCATCAAGTACAGTACAAGCTCTTTATTCGCTAGGTATACGTTCTATAAATATGCCGCGAATACAGAAACCGTGGATATGGAATAGTAATTAGTATAGAATCATAGGGGATACGTTCTAAGGTTCCGAAATAAAACCAATATGTATCCAAATAAAATCAATGTAATGATAAATTCGCAATCAAATTAATCGTTATAATTAGCTTTAGGCAAGAGTTTAAAAAAATTAATGATTTTTTCTTGTTTTGAATTTNAACCCACTTCTATCAATGTGGCTATTGATTTACTTTTTGATCCTTGGATACTTTTGCATCTTCTCTTTCATGTTCATTCAAGAATTAATGTCAGTGCTTCATAATCTATGTCTTCATACATAATAGCATTCCCGGTTCTGAGATAAATTCTTTTAGGTACATTTCAGGATTTTAAATTAACGACATATGTATGTTATACTATAAAAGTCATTCCTAACCCTTGGTAAGCCGCACACATCTATAACCTTCAGAGACTGAAAAATCAAGGGGATTAATTACTGGAGATGCATTAGACGGGATTTCTCTTTCATGTAATCTTGATTTTTACTGTACATAACTTCTACAAAGGAATAGGGTCGATAACAGTATAAGGTATAAAAGTTAAAGATCATGGCAATGGCCAAGTAAAACTCAGTGAATCCGTAAATTTTACAAAAACGTTTAGCAAACTTTACCATTGTTGGAATTTTCGTCATTTTTGAAGTGAAAACTTCTTTAGCATCGTTGTGATTTGAAAGCCGATGAAACAAAAAGGCGACAGTAAAAAGAGACAGACACATTAATTCATAAGTGGGAGAAAATGAGATAGGAAGCATTACACAGTGTTTCTTATGTTCGAGGTTCTCTTTGTGCTCTGCTTCGTACCTCCTCCACTCGTGTTTATCAAGGCACTAGTGAGAGTTTGCTTGGACCTCAGCGTTCTACGTGCGTTAATACGTGTTTGGGCGCGCATACGTAGTACAAAGCTTGAGGAAAGGCATCACAACCACCGTGGTGCTTTGTATACGTGTACGTATTATATGTTTGTAGGGTTTTTTCTTCATTTTTATAATAGAATTCTTCAAATATGCCGAAAACGAATGCAGAATATTGTCGCGATCTTGAAACCAAAATTTGTGAGGGTTTCACTTCTACTACGTGTGAATTGCACACGTTTTTTTTTATAAATGTATATTAATATTCCTACATTGCAGATTGGCTTGAAACAACCCCACAAACCTTTCCCCTTGAATACTGGAGTAGGAGTACTTCGGTGGAGATTGCAAAGTAATGAAGAAAATTTAGTGCCTCTATTAATTAATTGTTGGCCGTCAGAAGCCGGCGATGGAAGTTGTGATGTTAATATTGAATATGAACTTGCCCATACCAACCTTGAATTAACCGATGTTAATATAACCATTCCTCTACCGTAAGTATAGTTAACATTCTCTACCAGTAACTTCTAAATAGCGAGTATATTTACGATGTTAAAGTAATGAATGTCTAAAAAGCTATTAAATACATTTCTTTTTATATAAAATTTGAAATAGTGGAAATTACGAAGTTGTTCATGATTCAATAAAAAATGTTATTTGCGGAAACGTAGGTCGATGTAAATAATGTAGAAACCGTTATTTATGTAACAAATTAATTTATTTAAAGAAATACATACAATTATTTACAAACTATTTTTGCAAGGGCTCGTAGCGGACATTCGATTACTTTTCTGCACTGGAGTTGAAGACGAACAGTTATTTTAATTTTTATATTTTCTCTTTTCGCCGTTATACACCAAAAGAGTGTCTTTTGTTTGTACAACGGAAACGGCAAGTCTCGACTGGTCCACCACTCTAACTTGTATTATTGGATTTTATTATTTTTTGGTGTAGATGCTTCTGCATTAAAGAGAAATTTTGAATGTTATAAAAATGTTTGTTTGTGAATGCGTAACGGATGCTTTTACTTTTGTGCCTTCTTTTTTCTCCTCTTTCGACCGGTATATTATCTTAAGTACTAAATTAAGAATATATAACTCGTTTCAGTATTGGGTGTAATCCAATTGTTGGAGAATGTGACGGTAATTACACTCATGAATCCAGACGAAACCAGCTGATCTGGTCATTGCCGCTGATAGACGCAAATAATAAGAATGGATCTTTGGAATTTTCTGCTATGAAATCAGTACCAAACGATTTTTTTCCATTAAATGTTGTCTTCGGCTCAAAAACTCCATATGCTGCTATAAAGGTACTTTATTTTCGTTTTAGTTAGTATTATTATTTATATCTAAAAATATTATTATGTTTATCTCGTAACAGTTGACTTGTAATGTTGCATATAACTTGAAGTGGCGTGTATTATTTCTACTTCGAACTTGTACTGCACTAATTTCAGTGTGAATTTTTCAGTGTTAACTCGTCGTATACCTTCCTAATTTCTACGGCTCTACGGGGGTTTTTATTAAAATAAAGTTATTATGTACGGAAAATAGGATTTCTAGAAATGAAAGAAGTACGAAATTAAACACACAATTTTAGTTACAAAAATTTAATTGGCCACTATGACCATCTCATCATTTTGTGACAATAATACTCTACTCAGTATTCCACTTGAAGAAGCCACAGTATTATGAAATAATCATAGTGGTCAATTAAATTATTTGTAACTAAACTGGTGTATTGAATTTTATGTTTAAAATGGAGTTACAAAAATTAAAAGCTTCTTCGATTGAAACAGAAAAATATTCACAAAAAGTATTTATTGGCGAGGTTAAGACGCAGTGAAACACAATTAATTTAGTTTAATAAAGACTCGTTTATTTGGACGACTGTTCGATACAAAGAACACAAAGCAACTGACAAGAACGGCGTCGGTTGAGCCTTACAATGAATATAAAAGTGGGAGTTGCTATTTAATGTTAATTATGTGTTGTAATGCTTCGCGAACAAGTTGAGAATAATTTCACTCAGTTCGAGTTAAAACTATTGACGTAAACGCTACAAGGTGAAGCTTCGTATGTATATATCCTTAATTATTCCAATACGATTTAACATCTTTTCCGTGTCTTTTCTCCGTAATTCGTATTTTTTATGGGATTTAAGCGATTGTGATGCTACTACACACACAACAATTTTTTTTTACAAATTACGAAATTGTTGGTCTAATTTGTAAATTAATTATCTGTATTAGGTTTGTTTAAAGTTGTTTTAGGAAGCCTATTAACCAGACTGTGTAAAGTTGGTAAATAAAAATTTGTTCTTTACATTTTATCAAACTTACTCGATTGTTACAGTTTATTGATGTAATTTTATTACAATCAAGGGAGGTCATGGTTTCCCTAATTTTTTTTTTATTTTGATAGTTTTTGCTAGATAATTCATTAACTTCTTTCGGCTATATTCGTATAATATGTAATGTATCCGTATTCAAAGTGGATTATGTTTCTTTAAAGTGAAACATTATTTTCTCAAAGTGCATGACATCCAAAATGGATGTGCGAAGTTGGTAAATAAAAGTTATCGATTTTTATTGTTTGTTCATAATTAGTTTTTTTTTTATAATTAACAATTCAAATATTAAGCATGCGGTTGGCAAAGATAAGCTATATTTGCTTTTAATCTAGGTATTTACATCCAATTATTTAAGTAAAAAAAGGAAAATAATAAAAATCGATGAGCATTGTTCTACAAAGCTTGCGCATCAAGTCATTCAGTAATTATTTCTCGTCTGCGCAAATTCTACATAATCATGTGCAAGCCCATAACATTGTTCATCGACTTTTATTAATTCCCTTTTTTATATAAATAAGTAATCAATCAACTTAATAACATTATATAATGTTGATGGTTATATGGGATATGTAATAAATCAAACGCAATATATTTAGAGGAAACAAAGAAATAATCATTTTATTGTTCGATTTGTTATCTGTATTAATCCGCACAAGGTATAAACACAGTAGCCGTGAGGCAAAACTTAAATACGTGCACGTTTGCTATGCTAGAATAAATTAGCTCTAACATATGAAAAATAATAAAGTTACCATCTTCAAGCTCAACGTTTCAGTATTTAATAACTAAAATACTAATTATCAACAAACAATAAAAAAAAATCATTTGCCAACTTCATCTAACCCCAAGACTAGAGCTAGGAGCAAAGACTTAACTCGAAGTAAATACACATGAAAAGCATCATAAGTGTAAAAGCACTCTATCTTTTAAAAGTGACATTGACATATATTATTCTTTTGTGTATTATTCAAGAAGACTAGGAACATCGGCCCGCGTAATATACGATGCAAGCCGTAAGAATGTCACCAAGTTGTACACTGAAAATTGTTGCTCGGTAAGACAGTGCGCATCCAATTTAAAGCGTAGGCAAAATTTTGTTTACGTTTTGCGTTTGGGAACTAACGATACTAAAATCAATGAGCGCATTCGTTAGTCGCGCAGCTACTCTTGCGGTTTCTATTCTTTTCTACTCATGATACTTTTCAGACCCATTCGCTTCGGATTAAGTTTTTGTTCCTATCTGAAGTTGGTATTAACAAAAAATATTAACTTTAATGGACGGTCTGAAATCTGTTTTTAATGTTTATTCATTTCTTTTTAATGCTATTATATGGTTAAGTTGTTTTAAATTGCATTTATTTCTATGTCTATATTCCGTAGATTTATATTGCAGTAAGAAACGATTTTCTAACATAAGAAAAAAATCAAATATTCACTAAAAACTTTTCCATTGCAGGTCACCGATGTAATTTTAGTAGATGATGAGTCACCTGTTAAGTTTTCTCTGGAAACAGTATTGAACCCAGAAAAATACGAAATAGTTTAACATTGTAATATACTTATAGGCGTAACCATCAATATCATTATTTTGTATAATAACATTTTATGTATTATTAAGTGTTAAGTTGCTTCTTTTGTGAATACAAGAGGGAGCTTTAAAAATTTGTTTATGTATTGTCTGATAGATAACAGTGACTATTAGCACTGGGAAAACTTTTACATAAAATAAAAAGTATCAATCCTAGATAGTTTACTTATACCCTTTAAATATGAAAAATATATTATTTAAGAATAGTTTTTATATGTAATATTTTTGTTTGGAAAATAACCTAAATAAAACTGCAAGTAAATTTAATTTTTTATTACGCGCAGTCTTATATTGTTTTTATAGTATTAAACTATAACAATTTTTACTGTGTAATACCTATCGAAAGAAGCAAAAACTAGATAGGGACGTGAAATGCACGGCGCAAACCGTAAAAAGGCCGTGTTGTCCTTCAAATTCGAATTCGACGATCACGACTATGCAGCCGCTTTAATTCGCCGTAAGTACTACACCTATTTTGAAGAGAAACTTCTTTGGGCACGATAAGAGTAAAATCTCAAGGCCATGAAACGACACGTTTTGCAACGTTTCGTCTCGCGAAGTAATAGGCTATGAGAATAGAAAGGCACGCATGCGTTTATCGGTATTACAGTCAGCTGTTTGTTAGTGACAGGCATCTCATATTATAGTATAATGTATATTCACTATATACTATAGTGCTAAATTAATTTTTTGGTTATATATGTGCATTTATAGTACAGTAAATGTTTATTTACCAACAATTAATATTTATTTAAGAGCGAGTATTATTATGTATTAATTCTAATTCCTTATAGTTATTGATAGTTTATGGTTTCTTTAGCACTTGGAAAAATAAACGAAAGCGAAAAAAATTTGACCATTTTTTTATTATTGAATTACATAAAAACGTATTAAAGTAATACTATTTAGGTGGACTAAAAATATAATATGCTGGAAAACATATAAATCCTGAAAATTCTCGTATTCTCTCTTTCTTTTACCAACCATTACTTATTCGTTATAAAGGTATAGAGATCGCCAAAGAAATTTCACTTCTTTCACGTGTACTGAGTTGCACCTGTTTTTTTAATCTATCAACCTAACTTAACCTAACANACGCATTAAATTATTAAGTCACAATTGTTCTAATGATATTTTTTTGTCTCTATAATATATTTAAATATTTATTTAAAAATTACGTTTACTTTTATTTTCAAGATATTCTTAATTGCTTGTTAAATGTAACACTACCTAAAATAATACAGCTTCAATACTACCCAAATTCGTTAGCGTTAATGTTATGCGACTTCCTACCGTCGCCTGCAATCTACAACTCAAATCGCAGAACAAACGCGCTTAAATCTTGTTGTCTTGGCAAACCGGTCGCGGTCATCACCAACCAAGGAATTTAGAAGAAAACACAGCTTAGAGCATCATGAAGTTGTGCTTGATAGTTCGCTGCGCAGTAAGATAGTGCGTATCTGATTTGCCGCGTAGTCAAATATTTTGGTTACGTTTTGTTTAATAATTGGAAATATCGAAATTGATGAACGTTCCTTAGTTCCTTTAGTGTGCAGCAGACTCTTGCATTTTCTATCCTTTATTAGCTGTGACGCTTTTCGGATCCATTCGTTAAACTTTTGCTCCTATCCCTAATCTTCTTACCTAAAACCTTTAAAACCAGCAACCAATTTTAATATTAATAACAAATCATGCAATAATAAAATTGAGAAATATTTTATATTTGACTTGGGATTTTGAGTTACCTTTATGAGTTTTATTTTACTGTAAACGGCCCGATAATAAATTAAATGAAGATAATTTATTATGTATCAGTAATATCAACAATAAAAATAGCACTTAAATCGTAAAAACATTGTTCATTTTGTGATAATCATTCTTCCAATAAGAATTTGTTGATTTGCTTACAATTAATAAAAACAATAGATCCAAATTGGCGAATGATACAGTAATCTCTTGAAGTACGCGGCCCTGCATACAATAAATCGGACTTACGATCAATAAAACAAGTTGTTACTCCAGCACTTCGTTAGATACATTTAACTTTATTTTTAACAAATAAAATAATAATATCTAAATCTAAAGCCAACATGTTCAGAAAAGTGAATGAAAGGAAAATAAAAGCCAAAAATTGTATTAAACCTAATGTTTGCACTTAAAATTGAACTGCAAAAGTTAATTTTACTATATTTTATTAAACTTCAAGGCTAAACTTGTTAATTCAAAACCTTAAATCAAATTATTAGATACTGGTTTTTATTCTAATTTGTATTTAAAAAATCATTTTTTGAAATACATTAGGCCTATTACATTTCTATTCTAAAAAGCATTTTGTTAATTTATTTACATAGTTGTCTGTTAAAAATAATAATGCACATATTGAAATTTAAACAACTTTGACGCTTTATGAATGTTATCGTCGATTAATCAAAAACCAAAATTTGTAAACATATTTCCCCCAAATCAGTGACTGTTTTATAAATATAAATTTATGTTGTCAAAGCACTTGTTAGAATTATTGAAATGGCTAATACTATAGCAAATCTTAATGGCAGTGTCACCAAATGGCAAACAACAAGTACTTTGTATTATCTTTTATACAATTAACCACATCATATCACTCAATATTAAAATGCAATTGCCCTTTTTATTTAAATATTTAAAATAATGCAGTTAGGAAAAGTTACCATCCTGAGATTTAATACATTCTTATAAACACAAATACAACAATTAGTTGTCATTTAACGTAAAATATTTGTACTTAAGAAAAATACTGCCATTTAAGTAAATATAAAATCAGCCGTGAATTTTCATTATTACAATTTTACAATTACGTGCTTTCTGTAAGTTAATCATCTTTTGTGAATTTGGATCATAATCAATCATATCCAAATACCACAAATGTCGATATATTAGCCTTATCGCAAAAATTTCTTGTAAAAGTGATAACTTTTACATAATGGTGTGAGAAAAGTAACATAAATACTTTCACACATAATAAAAGATAATTTTTAACCAACACTAAATAAAATTACTCTACCGAACTTATAACATCTGTACAGATGATTTTATAGATTTAATACAAAAAGTAAAATAATTATAAGTATTTAATATCCTAAGTTATTATAAAAGTTAATAAGAGGGTGTTGTACAAGGCGATTCTGAGCAGGTAGAGTCTTGTCTGTGAGAAATTGAATATTGTAATGCCACTGGAGTCAACCATTCTTTTGGCAAACAACGTTCTAGGAATGGAACCCAGCTACTTAAATAAGCTAAGCGATTTACCCATGGAGGAATGTCTTTTCCACATAAAATCTAAATAAACAGAAAAACTATACATGTGAAATTGGCTACTTATAATTTTTAATGAATATTAAATACTACTCACAATGCATTAGTGCCTGTACATTCATATGAAAATGTTTGTACAATAATCTTTAATATTGTTTAACTGTGATCTTAACAAAAAGTGGTTTCTAGTATAACCCTTTAACAGCTTATTAAATAAATGAATATAAGATTAAATTTTAGCAGAATTCACAAACCAAATTTATTTTCTATGAATTCATGAAGCAATAAGGACTATAAATGTCAATAAAAAACAATAACCAAAATAACCATTGTTAAACGAACAATGTAATCATTCCAAATTGAAATCATAATTCATTACCTTTGTAAACGAGTTTGCAAAGTGGTTACAATTATTATTCATAAGATGGTATCTATCTCCTCTAAATTCTTTTCCTAATTCTGACACAATTCTTTTTACATCTTCTTCTGTAAAGTCTGTATAACCAATTAGAACAGATTGCCTACAAATTTAAAAATTAGCCAAATTGTTTTAATATAAGGAAATTAAAAACCTAAATTTAAATTGTTCCCCTAATTCACTATCATCTCTAGGAAGAATTTCAAAAATGCCTGTAAAAGGATACTGATGACCTCCATATGCAAATTCTGAACCATACATTTCAACTCCTGCAATAATTAGGTAAAATTAATATGGTAAATATATTAATATAGTTTGTATGTTTATATATACCAGAATGGAACACTCCAATTCCGATATTGGCCGTATATTCGTTCACTTTATACATATCATAAACATTTAAAATAACTGGTTCTCTAGACATTTTACTTGGTAACAATTCGTCAGATCCTGAATCCCTTGTTATTCCCATACAATTAAAAGGTAGACTGCAGGTTATTTTACTGGAAAACATTCTAAAGCAAATTTACTTATGAAATATTATTTTAAACTTTGAACTGTAAAATAAAACAAAGTTATAGAAATAACTCACCCCTTTTTTATTTAAATTTGACATCAAAAAACAAGACATCAATGATTAGATGCAAAAATTTTGTGTACTATTCCAGTTTTACACTAAAAGAAAACAACAAAAAGGTTAGTATCTGGTTACTTTTATCTTATTAATTTCATTTTTGCATTTGAAATTTGCTATGCACTTTTCTCGCATTATGTCATTCCAGTAGTTTTCGCATATTACAATCTGTGATGTGTTGTGATGGTAATCATAGAATTGCATAGAATGGATGTATCATAGATAATAGATATACAAAGGGATGTATTAATCTGTCATTATGTACTATCTATGATTCCAGATCCAAAACTACTAGTCAATGAACTATATAGGGTGTCCCAGTTATAATAATTAATATTTATACCACAGATTCCTACGGACATTTGGAACATAAAATGTTATAAAACTTTTGACTTTTGAAACAAAATAAAAAATTATAAAATTATAACAGTTGTGATGCCGGACCTGTACAACCGCAAATTAATTACGATTCCAGCTCATCGTAGAAAAATTTACTTCAGTAGGTCGAAATCAGCTGCTCTTTGGGGTAATGTTATTGTTTACGTTTGGTATTAAGTTCCGAAGAAAATGCACTCGCGTTAAGGTCAATTAGATGACAACATGTTAAAAAAACTACGTATCTATCACAATCGAAAATCCCATGATTGTAAACTGAAGTGGACCTAATGTAGTCGAGTATTATGTTATTTTAAATAGAAAAGAAATTTTAACGACTACGGAATATAATAAAAGCGGTGCACAAACAACCCTCACCACCCAGCGTTTGGTAAATGTTTGTAATATAACGTACTAGTGTACGACAACAAATGTATGTGTTATGGTTGTAAAAGTTGAGACAAGATGCAGACTTACTTTGACCATTCACATGTGTTAAACGTTAGTTTTGTCTGGCAGGGCTCATTAACCCCACATGGGGTAATACAAGGATGTGTCCAGAAGGACCAAGTTGGTTATTTTGTTTTCATTAAATGTAAAAAGCTAAATATTGATATAGCCTCGTATAATTACACTGCTGGAAGTGACTGGAATAAATACACATAATGTTGCAGTTTCTAACAGGTTGTTCAGTTCGCTTTGGATTATTATGGAATTTACTTGTTTGTTAGTGTTAGTTTATTTATTTAGTGGTCATTTCATAAAAGACTATTACAAAAAGGACAATTAGTAGTGTGATAGTGGATTCTAGTAGGGTTTTTATTCAACCATCAGTTGGTGGTGAGTTACATTACCAATGCCTATCGTATAATTCGAAATATTCCCGGTATCTGGGCCAAAATTCGCACCATCGCTGTCAGTGTTGCATTGAAGCAAATGGCGGACAATTTAAACATTTTTTAAAAAAGATACGTATTTCTTTTTCACTTTTACCTTTTTTTTGCAAGGTGGAAGTGCATTCGGCTTCTTCCCGGTAGGTACTTATTACATCCACACTAGATCAGCTGAGCGACGTTGGTCGCTTAGATCCAGGCCCGTAATGAAACAAATTGTACGTTCAAATTTACAAAGACGATTTGCGAGCTCAATTGTCACTGGATTGAAAAATTGTATAACACTTTTTTGTTGTATTTTGTGTCAGGAAGCCATGTTTTTTTTCAATTATTATAAATGAGACACCCTGTATACATACTACGTAACCGGAAAAACTGGCACATAAAATTATTGAGACCTATTATCTATGATTGAGACATATTTATTTGCAATCCGCAACAATGTGGGATTTCTTTCTCTTTTACATTGCCCTTATGACAAAAATAGAATATTTGAATGATTTTAATGATCATTTTGTAGGACAATGGTTTAAAATGTGACCTCAAAATTTTTCAAAAAAGTATTGAAATTGTTATATTTTTATTACAGTGAAAAGCTTTTTATTGTAAATTTAATATATTTATTCTATTCAACTTTAATGTATAACAATGTAAGCTGTGTATTTTATATGTATAAGCGTACAAAATGTAATAATTGACTTTAAATTATTATTAAACGATGTTTTGAGAAAATATATATAACTAATATGTGATAATCATCTATTGCTAAAAATTGCTACAAATTTTCAACGTTTTAAAACATTGCATTTCCCTTATATAAAATTATTTAAATCCCTAAATATTTAATGTATGCAACAGGCTGCTGTTATAAAAATACGTATTTACAACTTAATTAACCATGTTATTGACTATTAAAGTGAATATCTATATACCTACAAATTATAACAGGACAAAAGGAAATTTTAAATATATTTATTTATGTAATTAATAACAACTCAGCAAAAATAAATACAGTTAACAGAAAGAATTTCAGGAATGAGCGGCATTGGGAGACGTCTTCATTGGCTCTCTTAGGCTCAACTTTGACGTTGAGCCTGCAGATCTTGCCAAGTTCAAAAATTGACTTGGACTTTTTGTCAAACCTATCAAGACCAACGGACACTAGTGGCCAAACATTGCCACCGTTGGAGATACGGTGGACACCACGGATAGCGAAACCTTTATGTGACAATTCATACTGAATGTCGTTCGTGGAGATGGATTCACAGACCCCGCAAAGGAGAGAGACTTCGTCAGCCAGGGTCCGTGTCTCCACAAGGCAGGCTTGGATTGGGGCGCTGTTTGGCGGAATCAGAGTGTCGAAGTCGTTGAACAGGTCGGAGGGTCTGCCCGGTCCCCAGGTAACCGAGAGAGGAAATCTGGGGGTGGTTCCCTTTTTCCAGGCAATGCTCTGTTTGGAAGTTGAATTCCTGTAATAGTAGGGACCAGCGCATTAGCTTCGCCTTGGAGTCCTTCTGCTGGTTGAGCTACAGCAGCGAGAGACTGTCGGTCCTGAGGGTGAAAGGGCAATCCTCCAAATATGACCGATACATCTTCATTGCCCAGACGATGGCTAGGCATTCCTGCTCATTGCTGTGATATTTATTTTCTGCCGGCAAAAAGCGTGCACTTGCATAATAAATTACCCTTTTATCTTCTCTTTGCTGGGACCAAGCTGGTACAGGATGGCAGCCATTCCAACCAGGCTAGCATCAGTTTGAAGCGTGAATGGAAGGTTAGGGTCGGGTTGGTGAAGAAACAGGGGGCGTTGGAAGGCATCCTTTATAGCTTGGAACGCAAGACGTTCTCGGGGGTCCCATTTTCCATCGCTGCGACGTGCAGAGCAAGTCGGACAGAGGTGGTGCGAGTTCAGCAAAGCGAAGAATGTACTCACGTACATAACCCCAAAAATTTCCGAATCTCCTTCCTATACAAAGGGAAAATACCTAATAAATACTACATATACACATAATTCTAACAAGGTACAACTTTTGTAAACGTGTTTTTACCTTTGAAATATATTACTCTTCGGATCATTTTAAGCAAAATTGAGTATAATTATAACACCATAGATATTATGACACAATAAACATATATACCACAACCATTTAGCAAAAAACACTACAATAGGCAATATACAATGATTTACAAGTAGATTTACATAGAAATCGAGCAATAACAAAGAAAAAAATAAGAAATTGATAAAAAAAAACAACCAATCAAGAAAAATCAATAATAAACAACTATTCAATAAGAGTACAAATTAGTAAAATTTAGATTACATTATAAGTGTAGAATATAAGTTTAGTTTAATTAGGTTAAAATACATCAACCTTTTTCCTTTTTTTATTATATCATACCTCTAAAACGAGAAGGGGTGCAATATCTCTGCCATAGATCTCTACTCGGTGAGAATTGTACGATTTATTAAATAAATAAATTACTAAACTTGCCCATGTTGGCAATACTTGGCAACCATCTTGGCAACACTGGATTGCGCTATATAAAAAATCATGAGTATTATCAATTATATATAAAATATAGAAATGAATACACTTCGTGTATCTGCAGTACCTGGAAAGGAACAATTAGGAATACTGCTGTGTCTACTATACATCGCACCTGTGTCAGAAGTAAAGGAAAATGAGATGGCACTACTATAGTATTTCTGTCACATTTTGACACATTACAGTGTATGGGCCATAGACATATATTAATGGACGTGCCTTAGCCGTATGTCGTTGTAATAATTTCTTGGTTCGAGAAGTGAGGGAGATGGCGTATGGTTTCGGACTAGTGCTATCTCTTTCATGACACGCTCACGCACTATCGTGAGAGAGATGGATATTGTCCGAAACTTCGCTCCTTTTCTTTCTTGTGTTGTACCACAATTCTGACCGCTAAGGCATGTCCATTAGTAAACGTCGATGGTATGGGCAATGTTCTGTGAATTTGTTGTTTTAAGCGTTTTGTTACTTATTTTGTTATTTTTTAAGGGCACTAAAAGATTTAAAAAATAATCAAGAACGGTTAAATTAATGAGATAGAAAGGGTTAGAATGAAGGGAAAATGGTTAAAAAAAGATGTGAGAGAATGATAAGAGGGAAAGACTTGAAAAAATAGAATCTGAATACGTTATAGGATTAAATTATGTGTTATGGCAGGGAGATTTAATGCCAAGATATTTTAGCGAGCACGAGCGTGTTTGTGTGCGATCGGGTACAAGTGTGCTCGAACAGCTTATCGATTCGCCGACTAGCCCCGGGCGCCTTTCTTCATGTGCGCCGTATTTGTAAATGTGTGTATCGTACCTGCGTTCTGGGAAAGCAGTTAAACAGTTCAAAGAAAAAATAAACTATCCGGATGTTTCCAGAAGGTTCCAGAAAGTAAACAAAAGAATATTTAAAGGAAGAGACGATTGCCGAGAAAGAGGAGAAATAAATTGGCCGTTGCAGAAGTGAATCCAGAAATAAATTGACAGTGATAGCAGTGAAATAAATAGCGCAGTGAATAGTGATATATCAACAGTTGTGTAAATAAATAGAATAATTCATAATTTAAGTTTAGTAATAATTTAATATTGTTTTTAGTTTTTAATAATTAGTGTAAATAAATAGTTTTTGTCGTTATGTCTTAAGAGTTAATTTTGTTAAACCCACGAACATTACAATATTTAGGAAGAGGAAAAGAAATGAATATGCTGGCTATTTAGAGTAGGAAATGAATGTAAAGGATGCAAGTATTGGATTAAAGAAGAAGAAAGTGTAAACTGTGTGGAGTAAAAGATGAGAATTTAATGCAAGTGTAGGTGTGAGCTCGGAAGGGCAGTAGATGAATGTGTTTAATTGGTGAAAGAGAATGATAGTGGGCTAACCCTATTAAAGAAAATTTTAAAAGATAGAACGGGGGGCAAAAGGAAGCGTATAATTTAGTTTTTATATATTATTTAATTTTAAAAGTTAAGATGAAGGTTTAAGAATCAATAATATCTTTTAGTTGGTTTAAATGGTATGCACTTGATTTTAAGGTGTTTTGGTTTGTGATAGTTTTTTTTAAATATGTTTATAACTTTGATTTAATAAATGCTACTACTAATAAACGATTACTGCTATTTTTACATTTTATATTTTTATTTATTTTATTGGAATGAGGACAGAAATATCAAGACATTTATGTACAAAATATTATTGGGAATTAGCAATTCTGTGCTAATATATAGTAAAGATATATGATGTACAAGCGAAAACAATGTAGAACTTCTATTTTCATTATTTACATTAAAAAAAAACGTAGTTCATAAAATTAAACTTTCTTTTTCATTAGAAATTAAGTTGGAGAAACAGGTAAATACAACACTTGTAAGGGTTGCCTATCTTTTAGCTGCTTTTAAGCTTTTAGCCGTGCCTCACTATGTGAACATGATGTGAACATTTCGATACCTTTCCAGGTACACGAAGCTAAACGAAGTAAATTCAGTTCTATGGTATAAAATTATGCTAATTTATCGTGTTTATGGTTAATGGTGTTTTATGAGTATTTTGTTAAATAAAATCATACTGAATTATCATACGTCTTAATTAAATGATACTTGAAATTGCAAGTCAGAACCATAAGTTGTAGTATGCCCTTAGCGCTTATTTATACGGTTTAGTGCAGTTGAGTTAAGTAGTAGCAGTTGAATTCTGTCCCATTTAAAAACTTGTAACGCAAAATACGAAGATAAAATAACGTCTTAAAAATGACGGCAGTGGACCAAGAACAACGTGAAAAAGCTCTTCAGGATTACCGGAAAAAACTTCTAGAGCACAAAGAAGTGGAGTCTCGATTAAAAGAAAGTAAGTGAATGATCACAACAGGATCAACTGAAATTAAAATAATTCAATTTTTAGTGCGAGAACAGCTTAAAGATCTTACTAAACAATATGATAAGTCAGAAAATGATCTTAAGGCTTTACAAAGTGTAGGACAAATTGTTGGCGAAGTTTTGAAACAACTAACAGAAGAGAAATGTTTGTACTAGTGTGTTATGAAGATGAATGAATATTTTTATCATTATAAGTTTTTAGTCATTGTGAAGGCTACAAATGGGCCTAGATATGTAGTAGGATGTAGAAGACAATTGGATAAGGCTAAATTAAAAGCAGGAACTAGAGTTGCACTTGATATGACAACATTGACAATTATGCGTTACTTACCTCGTGAAGTCGATCCTCTTGTTTACAACATGAGTCATGAAGATCCTGGAAATGTAACGTACTCTGCAATTGGCGGTTTATCTGAACAAATTAGAGAACTAAGAGAAGTAATTGAATTACCACTCATGAATCCAGAACTTTTCCAACGAGTGGGGATTACACCACCAAAAGGCAATGGCTTCATTTTTTTTTATTTAATTTTTGCCTTAATTTGTTATTAGAAGTTTGTTTATCATTCTTTAGGCTTAATATAAGAAATAATATTAATTATATTTGATGATATCTTTTTGTTTATAGGATGTCTTTTGTATGGTCCTCCTGGTACAGGAAAAACATTACTTGCTAGAGCAGTAGCTTCTCAACTTGATGCTAATTTTTTGAAAGTGGTTTCAAGTGCAATTGTTGACAAATATATTGGGGAATCTGCAAGACTTATTCGAGAAATGTTCAACTATGCTAAAGATCATCAGCCTTGTATAATATTTATGGATGAAATTGATGCAATCGGTAAGAACAATTTTGTTATTTACATTAATCGTGGTCCTGGCATATTTTGCACGAATATACTGAAGTTTTTCCAAATAATTCTTTTTAAACTATCATTTAATGATCTTAAACTTTCATGATAATTACTAGTCAGTTAATACAATGACCAATAGTAATTTATTAACGGTTTTATTTTGTCCCAATATTTAGTTAACTTCGCAGATCAATTCTTCTGGTTGTCCAGTTTTTTTTTAACATTGCCTATTTTGTCTAACATACTAAGTCGATCAGATGATAAAGCAGTTGTATTTCCTTATTATTGTTACTAATTAATAAGAATTGAGCTGGCTTTCAGCCTAAACAGAAAGCTCCAGTCTTCAAACACTGTATTTTCAGCAAGAATTAAGCCGTGTGATCTTCAGTGCCTTATCAGTAATTTGGTTTGGTTTTAAGTCCTTGGTGTAAAAACTACTGCAACCGTCGTGTCTTCCTTAGTTAAGGGGTTCTATTTCATTGTCAATATTTCTCTATGTGTGGAGTAGAAAAGGAAAAGCATACAGTGAATGAATTTGATTTTCACATGTATACTTTTTTTTTATAAAATTCTGAGCAATAGTTTTTGTCTGAAAGAATCCCTCATGGCTATGGTTTATTATTTTTTAATTTGAATTAGTTTGCTCTTGCTTTTATGTATTAATTTACATTAGTAGTCAGTAGTGGCTAGACATGAGTTAGAGGGAAAAAGAGTAGGCTCTGTGCCGAATACCGATTTCATAGGAAAGGAATAAAATACATTTATAAATGTAAAAGAACTACATATATGGAAAAGACAAAAGAATTCGGTCAGAAATCATTGCAGGTTGTAAAAGTTTATGAATTCTGAATATTGCATCCATATTGCAGTTTACCCAAAAGTTTTGTCCCCCAAGAATCCTTTATAAAATTTGTAATTCTATCATGCACACTGAAGTGTATGTGTTTTTTTATTATAAATAAATAAATGCATTCTTAAGGTGGTCGCAGATTTTCTGAAGGTACATCGGCCGACAGAGAAATTCAACGAACTTTAATGGAACTTCTTAACCAAATGGATGGTTTTGATTCATTAGGACAGGTAATAAAAAAAATAAACTCCTTTTTCATACTCATTAACGTATGACCTAGGTTAAAATGATAATGGCCACAAACAGACCAGATACACTCGATCCTGCTCTTCTTCGTCCAGGCCGTTTGGATCGTAAAATTGAAATTCCGTTGCCTAATGAGCAGGCGAGATTAGAAATTTTGAAAATTCATGCAGCACCGATTGCTAAACATGGGGAAATTGACTATGAAGCAATTGTTAAATTATCGGATAATTTCAACGGAGCAGATTTACGGTAATTATAATTCATACAATCTTGTCCTTCAATTATATCTTATATAGTTACCATTCTTTCAATCAAACAAGCAATATTTTCATGATAAACATCAGTACATATTAAAATTATATAACTGAATAATTTAATCACATTTATTTTTACATTCTTTGCACTATTATTAAATATTTTTCATTTCTATTTTTAAGGAATGTGTGCACTGAAGCAGGATTGTTTGCTATTCGAGCTGAAAGGGAATATGTTATTCAAGAAGATTTTATGAAAGCAGTAAGAAAAGTGGCAGATAATAAAAAACTTGAAACGAAATTAGATTACAAACCAGTTTAATTTGATGTTCTCATACATTAACTTTGTTTATTATTTTCCATGATATTAATTTTGTCATTTTTCAGTAAAAACATTATTATTTAAGCTTTAATTAAATAAGTGTGAAAAGATTGTAAAGGATAATTTACCCGAAATTTCTTTCCTCCTTTTTAATACACTGAAATTTACTTACAATTAAAAAACCCTTGAAAGCACAAACTTTTTAACAGTAAAACATTCGTAGTGTATAATTGTTTAATACTATTATTCAAACTGCGTATTCAGTATTAAGGATGTAATTAAGCAGAAAAAAGTGACCAAATAAAATATACAAAATTTCATTTACCATGCTGATGAGAAAAATGCACAAAATTAAGAAAAACTTGTTTTTTATGATAATAAAAAAGGGCTCATCACAATGCGTCTTTCAGCTAGAACGTATGTAAGTACTCCTTTGCCTAAGTAAGCTACAGCGTGCAATACCAACTTCTCATTTTGTTTCAGATATCTGTACGTAAAAATAGTTGAAATTTTAGGATGTTAACTTATTGCTTTTATTAGAATTACTTTCGTTTGCAGAGTTTTTAAATTGTGTTTATCAGTGAATATATTTTTTATTTCGCCTCAGACGGCAGAAAAAAAATAAATTATTAGACTAAGAGAACATTAGAACTTGTATGCACAACGTAATTGTGTATTTCGTTCTCAATCTGGTCACCGTTCTTTGTATTGATTGGTATTTCTAGTAGAGTGCAAACCCTGTCTGGGGAATAGAATCTCCGTACATTCGAAAGTTAAAGAGAAATATTATGAAAATAAAATGCAAAACGAAGTACAGGTTGCCTTATTATGCTTAACATTAAATGTAAGTGTTCACTCCTATACCTTACACGCCCTAGTAATATCTTCTTCAAATATTGCATTCTTCGCATTTGCGTAGCTTACGGGGTACGCCTTAGTAGTACCTATTGTTGTTTTTCTGTATTTTGTGTATATCATGTGAGGAAAAAGTTCAGTTGGCTATTTAAGTTTACGGCCGCCTGGCGCCAAGACTGCCGCTTTCCTAGAAAGCGCGAGTGCCGCCGTTGGTGTACAAGAGGCTCTTTCGCCCCAACCCTTCTATAATTTCCAGCCTACAATTTCAGTACTGCCACCGACCTCTACTCCAGAACGCCAGAGAAGCTTAATGCAGGGGTTTGACAACAGACTATCGTATCCTCCTAATGTTGCAAATAAATAATTTAAAAAAATTACAAGAAAACCTTAGCATATTAGAATACTGATCGTACAAAAGAATGAGAAAACTTTCGAAATTAATATTAATATGAAAATATCAAATGCGAATACTAGAATATCAAACAAACTCATCCGTATGTGGATTTACCAAAAATGTAAAAATATATTTGTGTTCCATTTAAAATAACGAAATTATGTAGCATCCAGAAGAGATAGAACAACCTGTATGATTAAAAATATTTTCTGTATATGCACTATATGCTTCCAGATCACTTTTATAAAAACGTTTTATTTATTAAATGTATAACGAGTTGTGGACGAAACCGTCTTAGATGAAACACCCGATATAGTATTTATAAAAAAAATTAAAAAACTGGTATATCTGAACACTCCATCGCCTTTAATGATACTATCAACATAAAAAATATTAGGATATAAAATAAGAATGTTAATAATGGCAAGAAGTTAAATAAGCTAAATATCCTAAATAATCATATAGAAATGAGTGCCAATTATTGAGCCAAACATCATCCTTTATACTTTTAACGATTCAGGAAATTTATTTTGTAATTTAGTACCTTCCTGTTATTGTTGATGTTGAGTATATTAATACATAAATTGGTGAAACATTTGAAATTGTCTGTTTATTATTAATTTTAATAAAACCATGTTTCGCAATAAGTGCACCGGATACAATTTAAATAATAACAAATACTAGCACACTGACAGTCTAATCGGATTCCAATCAGAATAAAAAGAAAAAATATAAATTTAGTATGAGAAAAAAAGTTTGAGTGAATAGTAGAACAAATTAAAATAGAACATTCATAAATGCAAAATACGTAATCGTTCAGTAAAGTACATATACTTAAATAATGTAGTATATTATAATTTATTATCAATCAAAAAATAATAAGTTGCAAGCACAAAAATAGTAAATTGTGCTAAAACAGTTATTTCAGCAAGAAGTAACTGATAAATAACTAAAAAAAATGAAGTATCAGCTAATTCAACAGCTTTTACAAATAGCAGTTAACTAAAAATTTCTATAATACGTTACTAATAACAGTAATAACACGAGTCTTACATTAAACAAGTCTGCTATTGTCTTACTGGTAACCAGCAAGCAAATGTAGTGCCAGTCTTGCTTACAAAACAACTGACAGATAAAATCAAGTAATATTTACAACTAATAAATAAATACACACTATTTAATTTGAATTATCACGCATTTCAAATTCCAGATTATTATTGAATTGAGGTGTTAGTAAATGTAGTAGTGTGGGCAACAAATCGAAAAGAGGAAAGATAGAGTCGTACATCGCATTCGCACTAAATCACCTATGACTTGGTGCGACACGCCAACCACACGAATTTTTGTGGGAAATTGACGAATAAAGTAGAACCAGCTGTTTTGTGCACGTTTGACGTCCTAAAGGTGTACTTTTTTAGGGGGCTTTGCAGTCATTACCAAAATAAAAATTAATAAAACATTGTTTTAGTTCAACATTTGATAAATGGTTAGGTTATTTCTACAAAAATGAGGATAATAATAATTTTATAAAAGAATTTACAATAAATAAGAACAGAAAAGATGATTTCATTTAAATAGCTATTAGAGGTTTTCACGGTAGGTATTAAATGAATAATATTCGGGCTTGAAGCCCGTGATCTAGGATTGTTTCTTCTTCGATGAGGACACCGTCAAAGTATATCTGACACTTCGTCAACATCGATTTGAAGTACTTTATGCCCTCGCTACGTTCCCTGAGCATGATAACCGCACTAGAAGAAATAAGAAGTACCTAATCTTATACCAAGTCCATCAAGCCCGAATAATATCAAGCATTATTCATATAATAATTTAGTCTTAACTTTTTTATTGCTGACATTGAGATTAATATAAAATGTTTTGGCTTAGTTTACGTCTAAATAACGCAAAAACCCAAGCCCACATAAAAAGCTTAAGTTAAAAATACGTTTTGACGCTAAAGGCGTTATCCTTAGTTAGACTGAACTGTGTTTTATCTGCATTAGTTTTCAAAAACTTTTTATATATTAAAATGTTACCTTTCATTAGGTTTAACTTATATATGTTAAAGAAGAGATGCATAAATGTTTCCAATCATCAACATAATTAATTTTTCACGAAAATTCCTTAAAAAATGCATATTATAGTAATAGCATAATAAGTAAACATGTGGAAATACTTTTTAAATAATTTATTTGGTAAAAAATTGTAGGTGAATTGTCCATTTTCAAAGATAATAAAAAATAAAAAAACAAACATATCTTCTAATGACTGACGGTTCTTTTAGTGTACCGGATACTTCAAATAACATAAATCTTAAAAACTGAAATAATGCAACAAAAAGTTAATTAAATTTAAAATGAAGCTTTATTAAATAGTTACTCAAATACTTCTTATATAAATAAACACTTCACAGGGTGAAGAGTAGCAGTAGATAAATGTTGAGAGTAAAAAAAGGATGCATGCTACTGACGATCGGTTGCTCGTAGCTTCTCTTCCACCGCTTCTTGGCTGGCCTCAGAAAGGTCTGTGGCTTGGATGTACTTTTGTACGCCTACTAAAGACTTCTTTAAAGCATCAAAAGAGCTAAAATAAAAAAAAAATGTTTTCAACTTTCATAATTTCTGAAATTTCTTGCCGTTCTTACTTAATAAGATTTAGAAATAAATAAATAAATGAGAATAACTTTTTATTATAAAAAACATTTTCTGATATGCTATTTCTCTATGTAACTATTGGGAACTGACCACTTTGGTTACGACGTTTGGTGGTTAAAATTCTAACTAGAATAAGTTGCATATTGTAAATTGTCAACGTATTAAATTCCTTTACATAAAATTAAATAAAAGCAAATAATTATTCTCGAATTACAATAAAAATTATCACTTCGCCTATACGTACTGGCTATAAGCACATTTATCTGTGCTGTCAAGGGCTGTTATAGTAATACATCAAATAAAAATTTACATCTTTTATAAAAATTAAGAACTGTTGAATGTCTTCTACCGTCAATATGACAAAAATTTCAGCTTTAATTTGACATTAAAATATTCATATACATATATATAAAATGAAATTACTTATAATTACTTGAACCTGCCCAATTAAAAACATCAGTCAAAGAAAGCATTAAATCATTAAATTAACTATCACTGATCCAAAATGCAGGTATTTATTTTATATTTGCAATTTGAAGTCACCCATATTAATTATGGCCCTCATGTCAGTTTCCAATGGTATAAAAAAAATCATTTTTTAGTATAGTTTTCCAATAAATCTAATATTTTATTATAAATTATTTTTTATGCAAATATAGAAGGTAAAAAGTAAATTACCTTGAATATAACATCTTCTTTTTAACTTTTGCGGTATCTGGACACCAAGACATTAGGAAGAGTTTCTGTTTTTTGGACGATTCCGATGTACCTTGACACTGATGCATATATTCGAAATCGTAGAGTCCATATCGACACTCACCAGCACCACCAGCCTGTAAATCAGCCAAAAACTGATCATATTCCGCATCTCGAGCACCTACTACTTCCACGTCGATTTGTCTCTCATCTTTGATGAAAAAAATCACGTACCGATGTTTCTTGTCTTTTTTAATTTCTTCGTAAGTTGTTTTGCAAGCGTCAGAGACAGTGACACCTGACGCCTAGTAAAAAAATAAAAACATTAATTCTTTCAGTTTCACTATATATTAATAAATAAATTAAAAATGCAATACTATCCATTTTATTACCTATTTAATACTTATTATTTATTCATTTATCTATCCACTGATTTGGCTTGTATAGGTTTATTATTGCAGATATGAAAAAGGTAAACTTATTTTTCTACATTCTATATTCAACTAAGTGTTAAGTACTAATTTGCTCCAAATTATTAATCCGAATTAAATATTGTGGGAAAATAACAAAAGATGAGTGAAATGCCGTAAAGGCGAATGACTAAAAATTTTAAAAACTAGTTTTGTAAAATTTCATGCATTTTAAAAGAAAAAAAGTTTGAAAAAATACAACCGAAGTTGGTTATAACGAAAACGGGTTTTATAACGAAATGCATGACTTTAAATAACGAAATTTTAACAAAAATGCATCCATTAAATAACGTGTTATTCACATTTAGATTGAACGATTGATTTTAGCGAACGTTTCTGAACGAAAATAGGTTCAATCGGTTTATAATGAACCAATACTTCTTTGTACAATCAGGCTAGCTAATCATGAAAGTAGTTTCGAAAATCTTACATTGTTTAATGTCAAACCATCTATATTTCTAGCCATTGGCAAATTATATGGTTATACATATAAAAAATAATCCTTTCTTAAAAACCATATTCAAACAAAATGACTGACATTTCTGTGCCGTTAAGTTTTGCTATTATCACCGATTAAACATTATATAAAATGAACGAAAGTTGCTCACATTGATCATTGGAGTTATCAGAAGTTTAAACGGATACAAAGAGACATTCTATGAATGTTTTCTATTAATTCCTGAATTGAAACGAGCGTAAAGAGAATTTAACTCAAAAATACTGTAGATAATGTTTTGCCGTGGTCCATGGAATTTCACAGTTCCAAATGTTGAGACTGATCAATCACAACTCGGCACCTGCCACCACCACTGAAGATGCTGCAGCAAGCAACGGCGAAACATCCATTGGATCACGGCAAAACACTCTGGAAAACAATATCGAATCGATGTACGCCGGCCATGTATGTCTGAAAACTACAAGATATTGTGATGTGCTACTAAATATAACCACAATGTCTTTTTCGAAGACACCTTATTAAATGAACCTAAAGCTAAAGAAGGTATGACTTCCATATATTCCCTTTATTACAGATGTATCTGAACAAATATGGGGTTGTAAGTATTTTTTTTTTGTGTAAAATGATTGCTGTTGGTTTTACATCAATAAAATTGTCTACAACTTTATAGTGAGTCTAATCTTAATTTACACTAAGAATAGATACTGTTTTGGTTTGTCATGTCTTTTCTTCAAATTAAAACAAGTGTCTAAGTGAGTATGTATAGAATTGTTTATCGCTGTACGTAAAGGCCTAGTGCGCATTGCGATTTTTTAGTCGCCGCGACTAAACGGTCGCAGTCGCAGGAAGTGAAAACGATGCGCGCACTTGCGACCAAATAATTAATTTAAAACAAATTAAGCGATATCAGACAAATATTTCATGTAAGATTAAATTAAGGGTGAAAGGGGAAGGGAGCGTTAAATTTTTTGACAATTGTCAAATAACCTTCTCCCCTCACTCCAATCTTCCGTGAAAAAAAATTGCGGAATGACAACATTTAAACAACCCACCTCGCCCCTCCACAACCGTTTGCAGAATTCAATGCAAAAGGTCAAGGTCCGAAGATAAGGTGTTTGTTTTGTCCCCTCGGCCGAATCTTAGATGAAGTACTTGCGGAATGGCAATTTTTAAACACCCCCTCCTTCTTCCCCAAACCTAACCTTACTTGAATTATTTAGGCGATATCGATAAATTCACCATCCCGCAAATATTCCATGTAAGATTGATCGAAGGTGAGAGGGAGGAAGAGGGGTGAAATGGTATCAAGCAAACAAACTCACATCTGCATTTACACTATTAGTTAATACACATATACTCCTGATTCCTGACCAACATGACGAATAGTACAACATACTAAAATTTCAAAAAAAGTCGTAAAGGTGTACGCTAATCTCCACCATTACCCATTATTCTTATTGTTTTCTTTAGTCTTCAGTCCCAATTAAAAATAATTTATGTTTGTATTAATGTACATGAAAAATTGAGTAGCGGTTATCACTTGGCCCTACCTACTGTCCATACACAGTCAAAATAATAAAAAAATGCGAGAAAAATCAGTTATATATTATGTTATGTAGAATCCATCAATGTTAAAATGTAAATCCAAACGTTAACATTTTTCTCATATAATACCTACCTATATAAATTCTCTAGTTGGGAACGCGGCCAAAATTTTGTTTTGAGAGTAGGTATAATTTTAACAAATACTTATCCGTTAAATGTAAAATGTTCCTTTAAAGTGAGGAGGTTATACAACACCAGTTTAAGTAATCGAAGGATTATAAAAAAGTCAATTCTTCAAATTATTAGTATGGATGTAATTTTATAGAACCTTTAAAAAAATGTAATTGATCCATTTTATCACATATTATATATATGTACATATATGCATATGCACAATAAAAATAAATTTCTGTGTATAAAAACCTTGGATTATAATTTTCCACTGTAAAAAAAAAAGTACAAAGCACCTTTTGTTTGTAATTTAGACTATTTAAAGTGCAATTTTTGTAAAACGGCATGTATAATTCAATCTTTTGTTTGCCGGTAACTAAAAACCAATCTTCTAATTTTATTATTTCAAAATAAGAACAATAAAGTTAAGTAAGTATTCGTAACTAGCATAACCCGTTCAAATTTGACGAATGGTGCTGCTGACGATGAGACATAGCGGTTAGATTTTAACAAACAAATTTATCCGGCATTGTGATTTGCCACAAGCAAATAAAGGAAATAGCCGCCCAAATTATTATCATTACAAGTCTATACCTACGCAGAACCAAAGAATATTACTATATAGTGATTAATTTAATTAAACAAAATAATCGAATTCAACAAAACCGCAAATTCAATAAGATATAAATTTAATTAATTGTAAAGACTACACTAATATTCTATTATTATGTAAAGCAAAAAGACATGTGAAAGTATATTAAGCTTAAATCATACTGACTCAATTAAGAGCTGGTAGAATTCAACAGCTGTGTACTTATCGTTACGAATTGTCTCCCGCATAGAAGGTAAATATGAGGTTAAAGCCTTTAATTGTGTAATATAATTACGTACATGTACGCAACCAGGGCCGTTGAGAGAGAAGGCAGGAATCCCTCGGGGCCCGATTTTTTGAAGGGGGGCCGAAAATTCGGAACTTTAAAAAAAATTTTTTCTAGTATTCGTACTCTCTCTTTTAAATAAAGAAAAGCCCTACATTAAAATCATTTAAATAAGTTTTCAAATTTTGTATACCCATATGACCCCAGATACTTTGAAGTCCCACAGCCAAATCTTTTCTCGACGATACGGCCCTTTATACAATAAATAGGACGTACATATGCACAACTACAATAAGTGATCTTTAGAATGAATTGCTACCTACATTAATATAAGGTCTTATACAGTATATTTTTTATTGGAACAATAAAGAAATTAATTCATAATTACTATAGATAATACATAATCTATTATACAGCATCATAATTCTTAAAATTATTAAAATGACTTCATTTGAATGTTAGCAAAAAAAAACAATTATAAAGTAAAGTAGGTAGGTTGGTAGGTATGTAATTTCCGAGTTATCTTTTCTTATTACGTCATTTATTTGCTGGTAAATATAAAATTTGAGAATTATTGTTACTATATAAAATTACGTTTACAATTGCACTCTGTTTAGCAATAAGTCCTATTTGTATTTTTATATATGTATCAATCACGTATATTGTTATTTCATAAGAAAATTATTTTTTATAAAACATTTTCATGAAAACGGTTTTATATAACAGGAGTAAGTATATACATGTAGATACCTGTGAATAGACGCTCATTTACCGATTAGAGTGTACGGACAAATAAAGAGTACAAATTATAGGTAACTACCTACATTAAAAAAAATGAAATTAGTAGTTTGGATGTACACTGCACAAAAATATCGCCTTATTAGATTATTATTCAAAACATCGGTGTATCACAACAAAAAATAATTTTCTTATTTTTATGAGATAAGGTTAATTATCTATAGATAGTGTATTTCATGTTTATAAAAAGTGTATCATTTAGGTAACTGACGGTTTAATTTCAATGGCTGTTATTTTCATAGGTATTTACTCGTTAGAAATAAACAGTATTAAAAGCTAGTGACTGCTATTTTTATTACGAAAAAAATTGAAAATAGGAGGATACCTCCTATTTTCAATTTTTAAATGAATAGATTTACCGAGTTTACACAAGAGCCAAAATTAGAATTTTATTTTTAGTATCCACATGGAATATAATTTTAGCTAGGTATATTGCCGCGGATAATACTAGCAATTTTTTAATTTTCTTAAAATAAGAAAAATATTTGATAAAAAATAGCCATTTAACCTCAACATACATATACATTTATAAATAACAAGCATATCAAATAACAGACCTAATAAATACATGAAAGAACAAGAGGCTTATAATGCAGCGGCCTGATGAAACAAAATTATCAACCTTGATAATTGTAAATCAGAAATGAATCATAATATGCAGGTGACTGGTAGTACTTTTAACAAAAAAAATCCGTTTGTTAATGGAGATGTTGACACCTCACAATAGTGGGCGAGGCACGAAAAGTACATATTAATCTTAGAATATATAATAATATAATATATAACTGATCAAATTAAAATTGAACCAAATCCAATGGAATACATATGAAAGAAATTAAAATCGCTTTTTATTCTTAAATGACATGGCGACCGGCAATATATACAAACGTCAAATTAACTCCAAAAAGCAAATTTCATGAGCTATTCACCAAAAAAAAAAATGATAAAATGTACTCACCATATTTAGCTACTTAAATATAATTTAAATAACACAACAATATACTCCAGAGACACCAGCAATATGAGGATAAACGACTGTTCACGTTTCGCTTGGAGATACTTTGGAGGTCTGTGGCGGACGTTGATCTACCGGCAGTTGATTTGCGCTTGCGCTTTACCATATATATAAATTACTACGCCCTTTCTAATAAGTCGGCATAACGAAAAATTAGTTGTCATAAGAATAAAAAAATGTAAAACAATTAAAAAGGTCAGGAAATGGTTCGTCGCAATATAATTAATTAATTTTAGTTCTCAAGTTCGTAAATGTTTTGGAACTACTTTTTTATGCGTATTTTAACGATTTCATTATTTTAAATTATAATGTGCCTTAAATATAAGATATAACTGATACGAACGTAAAATCATTAAAAGATAAAGATTTATATCTATAAACATCAAAATTATTTATATATATAAGAAAGCGGATATCAACCAATGCGTAAGCGTTCCGCTTCGTATGTCCTTTTATGGTAAATGCGGGTCTCGGCTATTACGCTACAAATTTTGGCGCCAAAAATACGATAAATAGTTAATCAGAAGAATATTTATTTTATGAGGAACATTTCCAAAACTAATTATATAATAACATTAAAAAAATCGTATCTATTTCCTTATATATTAAACTAAAAGCGTATTAAACTGCAGTATAAATTCAATCCTATATGTTCCATAGCGAGGAGTAATATGTTTTTTTTTGAAAAGGTAAAATGAGTAAATTAACTTTTTTTCCGATACCTATTTACTTTTTTCCTGGTTTTGGCTAGAGTTCGGAAAAGAAACACCCTGCGATTGCATTCTTTTTAGCACACACCTCTTCACGGACGTTAAATTGTTTGAATGTCTTTTATACAGTAAAATAAATTATTTGATGACTTCAACGTTCGTCTGGTAAGCGTGTAAATACTTGTTAATCGGATATTTGGTGGGAAAGGGGAAAACAATTAATCACCTTTAATCTAACCTATCCTACCTAATGTAACATAACGCAAATTAACCTAACTCACGTTAAATTATGTTAGGATTGGTAATATATCCCCCTTCCGCCCATTTTATTAAAAAAAAATCGGGTATGTGCCTCCTAATGTAGTAATAATCTGAAGGCAGTATTACGGATTTTTTTAACCTTTCCGGTTCGAGTCGCCAAAAATCCTTTTAGGCATCATCATGTAATCCATAAGAGAGTGTGCGGTAAAAATTTGAAGATAATCGGAAGATGTCCCTTTTCGAAACTCCAACCTAATATTTTTTTATTGTTGGATTGAAATTTAACTCGTCCATGAAGTAATAGTAGTTTAAATTTTCGTTACTAATAATAAGTTGATAAACTATTTGATAAAAATGCTCCGAATCCGACTATATGAAGAAGGTTTAAATGCAGGAATCCCTATCATCCCTATCGACCTTCGGCGTTCCGTTCGGTTAGTTTCGGTTTGCAAATTGAATTAAGTCCATTTTCAAACAAAAGGAAATACACGGCAACGGCAATACACAAAAAGTACGAAAAGTACCACAACTATCTATGACCACAACCTTAATATCATAGGCATGTCCGTCGTTAATAACCTAGTTGGTTAATAATCAGTTAATAATCATATCCTCGGATAACCCGGACATAAACATGTCTTTTGGGTCGATATACTACTACCTTCCTTTAAATAATAAAAGCGGACGTTTAAATCTCCTAGAAATTTTGGAAATATCAAAAGCTGAAACAGACCTGTAATTCATGTACACATATACTAGTATTTAAGTTTGCAGGAATCGCAATACGCTTCAATCCCCTTATAAATACCATGTAAAATATATATTTTATACATTCACTTTGATAATGAAAACAATAAATAAAAAATTGTGGGACAAAAATACCAAGTGTTTTTATTTCTTAATATTAATTAACTATATTATTGACAATTACAACTAATAATAAGTGAATATCTATATACCCAAAGATTGTAACAGGACAATAGGATACTAAAAAAGTTTATTTATATAGTTAATAACAACTCAACAGAAATAAATACACTTAACACAAATAATTATAGTCAGATAACTGCTTTTATAAAATATTAGCTTCTTTTACGCCGCCTGGCCATAAGGAGAAAGAACTAAAAGTAAAATTTACTTGATTTTCTTCTAAGTTAATGTAAACGATTAAGTGAAAATTTGACAAGAAACAATCTACTTAACGATTTGCGAAGATTAATTTAACTTTTAACAAATTTTTATTTTATCATGTGGAAACATAAGAATTAAATGCTAAATTAAAATCACTTACATTAATTACATATTATTTATTGCCTAACAGAAGATACATAAATTGAATAAAAAATGAGGTTGGGGAATATATCTAAAACTATAAAAAATACACCTGATTATAGTGTAAGAAGGGAAAAAAAATGAGGAGTAAGAGACGTAGAAAAAATAAGAGGACTACAGGAATAGGATATAAGAAGAGATATGAAGAAAGTATTCAGAATCGGTATGGAGAAAAAATAAATAAGGAATGAATAGCCCTAAAATGGATAATGAGGGGTCAGGAACAACTAGAGGAATGGAGAAGAGAAATAATGGACAGGGGGAATGTAGTAATTATCACAACTTTGGTAGTTTTTGAATAAATTGACATTTAATTTCTTCCTGCACCCGAAACGAATTTCCTTTTTTTAACAGAATTAACGGATGCACAATTATGATACTTACATATTTCGAACCCGCAAACGCCGCACAATTTATTGGTAAACATTAAATTAGAGGATTATTTATATCGGGTGCCAGATTCACAGGACTTTAGCTGTATGTTAATTTGTTTATAGACATCTATGGTTAACGTCCTTCGTCTATGGTCATAGATTTATCTATGGTCATAGATAGTAGATCTATGGTTCTTCTCAAAGGTCGTTATTTATCTATGGTCGTTATCATTTTGTCAATTTATTTTGATTATTTTTGAAAGACAGTTGTTGATAGTAATTTTTACTTATGCTGCATTAATTTTTGATATTTGAAGATAATATTTATAATAATAAATTCGTCTATTTACGCTGTTGTAATTGTATATAAAAAGTGATAACTAAGTGTTTATCAGGTATGAAATTTTTACAAAGTACGTGTATGTAATTGGGTTTAAAAGGATGCATATTTTTTTCAAGTTTATGTTTTCTGACAATGTGTATGTGTAATAAATGTATTCTTTACATAGGATCTACATACAAAAAAAAACATTTTGGGAATCACTATCTTTTAGTTTACAGATAGGTAGGTAGTTCCCAAGTTGGGAATCCCAACGTTATTATACCTCTTATTGTAACGAAAATATGACGTTAAGCTACCACAAACTTTATATTTTACAATATGTGTCTGTGTATTTAAATTATGTAAATTTTAGGATGGTGTGGGAGACAAACCCAAAATTATGATATTGAACAAGCGAACATCAAAAATCTCAGAGAAATTTGTACAAACAAAAAATTAAATTACATTTCAAAATTGATCAAGTTAAATTATTTTAGAAGTATGTGTAAATATATCCAAGATAAATACTAAATAAGAAGTCTTTCCTTTTTACTTTTATCGACTTGGAACTGGAAATGCAAAGATTGCTATAGGACATAAAGACGTCCTCGTCTTTAAACAATTACAAGACAAAGGGGTGCTGGGATGTCGCCATTTCTTTAAATTCTTTAGCATTTTCCTTATACACTCGTCGGTTCTTCTTGAACAGAACGGACTTTAGCCGTCCCTTGAGACACAAGGTGGCGATTGATGTGGTTAATATCACGAATGAGAGGGTCGTGATGGCAGCATATGAAGCGAAGGTCAATTGCTGTAGATGGACCGGAGTCTTCTCTATCTTCTGTAGTAGTGTTGCTATCTATTGGTGGTCTTGGGGATAATTGCTGAGCTTGAGAAGTTTTTCCTTTGGGATTCCTAAGATAATTGTCCTAAATTGAATATCTTCCCTCTTGATCTGGTGTTTTTTTTTTCATAAACTTCTTGGTTTATTATGGTGATTTTCTCTTAGTTGATTAGGTACAGTTCTGTGATATAGTATTGGTGGTTATTCACGACAGTACAATCGCTATACCATAGGGTGAAGGTTTCATATTTCAACATAAAAACGGAAGGCATTAAAAGGATAATATTTTCTTTTATTAAAGGATTAATTTTATTTCATTAGAACCTGATAGGTTTTACAATAGGAAAGCTAATATTATACATCCAATATCTTCTGACAAAATAATGGTCTGTTGAATTTTAATTGATTTAAAGGTTCTTCTTCATCAGTAGACACTAGTTGACTTTTTGAATAAATTTCTTGGAATTGTTTAGTCATTTCGTTAATTTGCATTTTAAACACGTCAAATTTATTGATGTAAAACGTAATTAATTTCTTTAAATTGTTGGGTAGTAAAATTTCGTTCTAAAATGGGAGTATGTTTCTTTAATGCCATTATGGTTAGTGCCATGGTATCATCATCATAAGGTCATCAGTCCTAAGATAATTAGATATTAATTCCAGGGCTTATTGTTTATTTATTGTCAGAAAGGGTTTCTGTAAAAGTAACTTTATTGTTTTGTCCAAAGAGTACTTCATGTAATGTTTCAAATATGAAGTGTTGAAAAGCGTCATTAATTTTGTTGTCAAAATATATTCCTACTTGAAGAGGTACTTTAAAGGGTGTGTTAGTTGATGTTTCAGCCAAAATATAGTTTGCTCATCTTATAAAGTAACATTTATTCTAAATCTACCGTTTAGTAGCATATTAGTCGTAAATTTGCGTTTTCCTAATTTAAAGGTAAATTGTAAAAACCTGAAGGGGTTTCGCTTCGGATAGCCTCAAAGAAGATACATGGTCTTCTTGATTAGAATGTGCTCTGACTAAATAGTCATTATTAGGTTCATTGTCATTGATGGGTTGAACTAATTCGGCTAACTGGACCAAAATTTCATCAGCTAATTAAAAAATAAGCCGCAATCCGAGAAACCCGAAGAACAGTTTGCACGGTAATTTCAAAATAAGTTTGCGTGCAAAATTAGTAAAATCGGTTAGGAAAATTCTGGACCGCCAGAACCAGGCTCATAA